TTAATTTGCAACTTAATCAGAAATGAAGGAACAACACTGGAATATAACTCGATGACAAGTTCATCGAGTCGAAGATTTGGTTGTACACCACTTGTATGTGCCGGATACCATTGTGTCAAATTTTTTCTGAAATTAACTTTAAAAGTACTAAGTAAGATCATGAGATATAGCACTATATGTTTAAACCAACTTATATTTTGGTTGTACACCAACTTGTATGTGCCGGATACCATTGTGTCAAATTTTTTCTGAAATTAACTTTAAAAGTACTAAGTAAGATCATGAGATATAGCAATATATGTTTAAACCAACTTATATTTTGGTTGTACACCACTTGTATGTGCCGGATACCATTGTGTCAAATTTTTTCTGAAATTAACTTTAAAAGTACTAAGTAAGATCATTTATTTTTGCATAATATAATGCCAATATGGTTTCTTTTGATTTTATTTCATTTATAAGCAAATCAGATTTACCCAAAAACTCCACTCCATAAGCGTTCATTTGCTAAATTAAAAAGTGACAATGGGCTAGTCTGTCCCTTTCTCATATAATACTATTTATTTTTGCATAGTTCAATTTTTTTAAATAATGCAAGATATCCCGCCATTAGTTTTCATGAAATAATCCAAAAATCAGCATACACTTGAGAACATAGCAGCTCTACATGTTTTCGCTATTTATTTTCCAATAATATGAGGGGTTCACGGGATAAAGCTTCATTAAGCATAATTGATTACAATATCATCATATATATACCGAACATATAACAAATGGGATATTTGTATACTAAAATAAAAAAGGAGCAAATTATATAATTTTTTCATGCTACTTATAGGTTCAAAAATCTTATAATATAAAAATATTTTCAAATACAAAGAAAATATGTGTTTATTTCAAATTTGAAAATTAGATATCTTGTGGGGTCCACTTTCCTCCTCTGTAATCACCTGTAGGGTTATCCTTAGGAAATCTTTTTGCATTTCTTGCCTTGTTGATCTCTTTTCTTGTTTCTGGTGTAGCTTTCTTTTGATTTCTGGATTTATTTTTCTCATATTCAAGTTTTTGGAGTTCGCGGATTGAAGGAGATATTTGGTAATTATTGACACGATTGTATATTTCTTGTTTGCATTTCTCTCCTTCGTTTTTTTGTAAAATTGTAACAGCCGTACGCATTTCAAACGATTTTGCGTTGTTTCCTTTGGGACACTGAGTAAGCATTGAGTGATGTATCGATTCATTTTGTTGTGTTTGAGCATTAGGATCAATTTCTGGAATCAACTTTGCGGCATCATCTGTAAAACGTTGAAATTGCTTCGCTAAATCAGGTTTTGTAAGTGGCTGAAACACAGGATATTCTTTGTCTTTTTCGTGAAGGCAATTTTCATGCCTTCCGATAAAATGATTTAATGTATTCTTCCATAGGAAAATTTTTTTCGTTGTTTCAATTGGAAGCATGATAATAAAAGTGAACCACTTAATAACTTTCGAATATATCTGATGAAATACTTTTTCTTGGTGTTTTAATGGTCTTCCACGTTTCTTCGGCTCTTCTGCTTTAGATTTGATTGGGAATGCTGGCTGTGATTCACTTTCTTTCTGTTGATTAACAGTTTCTTTTCCTGCTGCTTCTTTATATCCACCATTTTCAAGCTTTTCGAAAGCTCTGCCAACTGCACGTACACAATGACGAGGATCAAGTGTAATTTTAGCATTCGGAGCATATTGCTGGATGATGGCTTTCGTTTTATTGTCATTGTCATGAACCACTGTGGAAACATTTGTAAAGTCAAAATTTGACATCATCCTCTTTGTACATTCTGTTTCCATCATGTTGGATGGGCCTTCAAAGTCTCCTCCAGAGCTCTTTTTTATAACAGTTGTTTCACCAACAACTTTTCCACGGTTGTCCATCATTAAACTTTGGCACGCTGTAGCATTTCTGCCAACATTATAATGCGAATCAGTGCTTAAAAATGTATCTTTCTTCATTGTTTGTTGAGCATTTTTAATAGATTGCTCTTTATATTCTAGTATTACCTTACCTATTTCTTTTTGATGACGGTAAAACTCTTTTTCACTCGGCACTTTAATATTGTTATCTTGAAATAAATTCCTTGCTCGAGTATAAGAGTCACCATTAACAATTACAGAAGCAGTCCAGTGTTTTGGATCGACTTCCTTTGGCGCATTCTTTTCTTGGGAGTTTTTTCTTGCTTCAATTGATTTTTCGTTAGCTTCACGACTTTGTTGTTTGCGTCTGCTTGGTGGAGGCATATTACGTAAATGGTCGGTAAAAATGTAATAAACGTAGTGAATAATTAAAAAGATTGCTTTATATAACAAATATAATCATTTTTTCCTTAGAAATCCCATTATTTGCATAACAATATTTAAAAATATTTTTTTGATATAGTTTACAGTCACATCAATATGAACTATATTAAACTATCAGAAACTTATGTATGTTATTAGTAAAGTTGAAATTTTTATCATATTTACACATTAAATTTAATTTTCATGCATATTTAAGTTTTTTTCAACACAATCTTGTATTGTTAGTACCGACAATATGAAAGAAAGTTATACTGTATTTAATTTTAGCAATAAACAAAAAAATCTAAATTATATCTTTAGATACTAGGATTGATTTAATGACTAAGAACGTTTTTATCAATAATACCATGATTCATAACATATAGACATAACCTAAATATACCAAAGCATTTCTACTTGGAACTAGCGCATCGCCAAAATAATGGGTCAATATTCATTTGACGTAATGCTGATCGAGAGAAGTCTTTATATATAAGCCTTATCACAATGCCACGAATGCACCCAGCTGCAGGCGTGTCTTGTTTAACATTCATTCCTATATATGATGGAACATTAATCAATAATCATGGAAGTATCACTTTTCAAATAACATCATTGTTAAATGAAAGAAAATTGTATGCAAAATTACATTTTGGTAATGGTGAGACGCAATATGTTGAAGTATATATCATTATTATTTAATATACAAACAAACTCTAGTACAAAATTGTATTAATTCAACTTTCATGTCTAATATAAAAACTTTTTTTAAAAAAAGAGATATAATCGTGTATAATATGAGAAAAATGAATATCAATACAAAATAAAATATCAATTAGCTATTGCTGATGACATATCATGAATATTGATCATTTGATTTGATTAATTTTGATAAATATTAGGCTTTTTGCTAGTTACATATTACAATAAGGCTTTTAAATGGATATTTATTGATATGAGCTTATTTCAAAATGACAGTCTTTGATTTATCCACTAATAAGATTTGATGTCACAAAAATCTAGATTTTGGGGCATAAAAACCTAACACCAAATCATAACTTCTGTGCATATACTAAATTGAGTACAGAAATATGTTAATTTTCAGTATTTTTAGAAGAATTCTTATTATCCTTCAAAAAGTCAGTATTTCTGCTGTAATTTTCTACAACATTGTAGTTATTGCACTTTGTCTATGGATTTGTATATATGTTATATATAAATTATATATCTAAACTGCCCATAAGTGCAATTTTTATATAAATTGTTTATTTCTTTAACAATTTCATATGAAATATGCTTTTTTAAGCGTATCAAAGCTGTGTTCTTAATGTGCATGGATATATCAAGAAAAATGTCGAAAAAAAATGTGAATTCACAAATTCACTGAATTTTCACCGTTTTTTGAATTTTGCTACAGCACTAATATTAAATAATACTAAAATCTTCTGTCTTTGTAAAAGAATAAATTCTGACAAAAAGTGCTCGTTTAAATTTAATGATCATCTGTATGACTAAGTGGTAAAAAGTGTTTATGACCAAAAAAGGGTTACATGCTTAGTCTATTTTTCTGACAGGATACTCTAGATTTACATGATCTCTATTTCATATCTCCGTTTTTAGATTCTTCGACAGATTTTATGATAGTAAACCAAGATTAACAAATTTCCGGCATGTTAATGAAGAAATCTGCAGCTACCCTCAATATTATTTCAATAATCAGTATCGTTTCTCTTACAATTTATTTTTTTCTCAATAATTTAACAAGAAATAACAATACACACTTGGTTTTACGTATAAAAGCTAAGTGTCGAACTTAATCAACTTTACTTACTTAGCAAATGAATATTTTTGTGGTTGCGAGTTCTGAATGCTGAAGTTTTAGATTTCTCTATAAATGATATCATTGCACTTACAATGTTGTTCCAGCCTATCGCATAAATCATAGAAAATCCAAAAAAAAATAATATAAAGAAAATTCATGTCATGAAGTTCAAAAAATACCGTGTAACATTAAAATTTGTTATGCATAATACATTTTAGCTATTATTGATTTTTTTTAATTTTCGAGAAATTGAATGGTGAGTCCGATAGAGAAATTTTTAAAAATCCTAGTGCCTCATAGAAGTAATTTCCCTCGTCTCCCATACTTCCAAATGTATGCATATGACATAAACTTTTATGCATTACACAAGTGGCCAATAATATCTATAGAGTAAAAAATTAGAAATTTAATTTTTTTATATGATAGTTATATTTCAGATTTGCGAGCGTAACTTTTTTCTCCATGGCATACTTGTTTTAAGAGCAAATGATCAAAATCGTCCTTCAATTATTGAAGGAGCTGATATCTTTTGAAAATTGAATTGAAAGGGTATTCAATTTTCAAATTTCCTCTCAATTTTGGAAACATATCAACTCTATGAATTAACAATTATGTGCCTTCACAGTTTATCAGTCATATAAGGTGCTTATAAAGAAAAAAGTTACGCTCGCAAAATATGTTTTTATATAGATTTCACATAAAATAATTATGTAATTTCTAAAAAAGAATATTTTTGTTCTTGAATATTAAAGTGTATTGTAGTTTAAAAAGTTTTAAATATGTTGCTAAAATTTCAGGTTTATAGCTCATGTCTAGCATGACTTCTTCGTATGCGCAAAAAATCTGACACGTAAGGGTATCCTTATTTGAAGTTAAGTTTGTCCTTCCATTTCTGCACTTCTTCTTCTGTGAAGTGCCTGAGTGGGTGTCCTTCTGTGTTGAACACCCATTGAGCGGGCGAAATGAGTGAAGTATCAGCAAATGTCAGGTAAAGGTATTTCAATGTCTCTGCGAAGAAGAAACTTTCCTGGTTGCCGTAGGAGCGAGTGTCATTTGCATTGTTAACATCCCTTATATGTCCGAATCCCTTGCTCTTCCTTGCGTATTTATTTATTCCAGAGAACATGTTCCAAGCGTACATCCTAAATTTTGGAAGTCCAGTGAATTTCCACATCACGTAAACACTCTCGCATGATTCCGGCCTCAGCATGTAAACTGGATTTTCTATCTCGAAATCTTTCCCTTCTTTGTTCGAAAACCTCACGCGCTCTGGCCCTACGCCTGTCTGCGTGAACTCGTAAGCCTTCGCGTACCCTGTTGTTAGATCGTCCGCGAGCTGCAAGTCTTCAGCTGCGTGCGGATTCTCTTTTACAGTTCCGACCGCAATCATTCCGCCGGCGAATGTGCCGAGGTGCTCCTGCATCGGATTGACTGAACCGCCTGAGTACACGCCGAGGCCAGTGTAGTTCGACTTCTTTGAGTGGACGACGATCTTTTCCTTGATATCTTTGACAATTTGTAGATATTTGTCGAGGAATGGCCGGGCAACGCCTCGTGTCATCACGTATATCTTTATGATATATTCGTAGTATGAATCTATACCTCCTCCAACGTGGAGATTGCTTCCGCTGAAACTATCTGAAATTAATCCTCTGTTTTTGTAGCGTTCCCACATATTTTTGTATGTTTTCATTGCTAAGTCAATGTACTTGGGATCTCCAGTGAGCATTGAAAGAGAAATGAACTCAAGTTGGTAAGTATTTGAATCAGCAACAGATCTACCGCCGCCTGAACTGTACGATGCTTTAATTTTCCCATTCTGATCGATTCCTAGTTTAACACCGCCGCCAAAAATGCCTGATTCCATAAGAGGATAGACGGCGTCGGCACATTCGACAGCTTTGTCTAAATAGAGCTTGTCAAGAGATAATTCGTACATAGAAACAAATCCACCAACGAACCGAATGAGAAATTCGAATAAACTCCAACTTCCGGATGGTTTAAAATCGTTTTGAATATAATCGCGTGCTCTTTGGTATTCTTCTGTCAGATTCATCAGATAAAGAGTAGAGAGTGAATCAACTATTGTTAATGCAGCATGGAGAGTAGAGCTGCAGCTGTCGCTGTGGGGAACATATTCATCTTCACCCCAACAACGAGTTTTGTATGCATTCCATCCATGCAAAAATGCTTCTTTAATAGCTTGGGCTTTTTCATTGTTCTCTTTTATTAATGGAAATGTTCGTTCATACAAGGGATTTGTTAAATATTGGCGTTTATTGTATGGTAATATGATTTCAGATGCTTGCGGCCTATCTGTGAGAAGTTCATACTTATCTGGTCGCTTAAATCTATTTGTTTGGCTAATTGTTGAATTTATATCAGAATCAAATTTTATTCTAGGGCTGATAAAGGAAAGCAATTCGTATGATATGAAAACAAAAACAACTGCGGCATAAAAGACAAAGGAATATCTATTTAACCTTGAAATATTTTTCATTTTTCATAAATGAAAAGGTGACTTTAAGGTAGTCCCACGAAGAATCTAAACGACAGATTTCCAAATAAATAAGATAAATAGAATCAGTAGGCTCCAAATATGAATGATATGATCTTAGTTTGAAAAGTTACTAAAAGAATAAAAAGATTTGTGAATTACGTTTTAATTTCCATAATTTTTATCAATTAATTATCACGTTATGATTTACATATCAAATTTAATTTCAAATATAAGTATATATCAATATTCATTATTTGTATTTCAAATTTAAGTATAATTGGAGCTTTTGAATAAAACCATAATATTTCCAGCTTACATGATTATAGTTTATTATGTAATATCCGGTTTATCAGGGAAATAATAGATTTGAATTCTTACTTTTGAGGATTTGACAAAAAATAGTATAATGATAATGGATCACTACAGAATTATTTTATATTCAATAAATCATTTTGCGTAAAAGGTGGTTCTTATCATCTATCAAATTTCGTAAGAAGTCTCTTAAAAATCTTGGAGTTCTTCAAGAAACGATCTTGTTCAAGATACATGTCGAGATGCTTTAATAAAATTAATCATAAATCGAAGCAAAACATCACATTTGTTAATAATTTCATGTAATATATAAAATTCAAGATTATAATGTCTACTGAATGCTAACAAAAACGAACAAAATCTCATCTCTCGACTAGAATATTAATATGGTGCAGTTTTTTGTTTAGATCTAATATAAAAATGAATAAAAACTTTACTTTTACACTTTTCATTCAAGTATTTTACTAATATAGATCATGCTTTATCAATGCTTAGTACTATTATTTTTAGAATAAAGGATAATAAGAAAGATATTTGTGATTTAAAATAATTTTTTAAAATTCACCTTTAACTCATCACTCTGTGAGATGTAAAAAGCATTCGCATTACTCATTCTGCTTAATTGATCAACTCAAATTTCCAAAAAAAATTCAAAAAATCAAAAATGAAAATCAAAAATTTGATTTTTCTCTTGAAAAAATCAATTTTCAAAAAAATTTGGAAAATCAAAGTATTGTATAATTAATCAAATCATCAAATGGAATCGTTTTTACTCATAAAAAACATCTAATTTTTGGTTTGGAAATCATATTTATTAAAAACTCATTCTATAGTTGATGCAATGTCATAATTGCTGTTGCAAATATTATTTCCATAACAAAATTCTTATTTTAAGATAGTAAAATAATAAAGTTTTTATTTCAACAACAACAAGTAAATAGATGAATGGAAACGTACTACATTCGCATAAATGTAGTAACTATCGTCTATATTTGAGTTATGACTATTCCAATCAAAATGTATAAAATTGAAATCAGAAATATCAAACAATTATATTCGGTACTGTGCACACATTATAGAGGTCATCGTAATTTATATGTAATTTATATCTAAAAGCCGACTTTTTTTTCTTATTGCAATAATTTTCTCAAATTTTAGTAACTTTTTCTATATTCAAGTTATTTGAATATGTATCATAAGCGACGTAAGAACTCAAAATTACGAGGAATTCTGTCGTTGCATTTTCGAGATGCAAAATTTCGATTTTTAATATGGGGATTTGGCAGGTGCAATCTTGGTGTTATCTCCATGTAGAAGTACTGTTGCAATATAATTAAAATTAACGAAGTTGATTTTAAATTGCATAATGCTGGAGAATAACTGACAATACAACTAAGTATACTATATAAGATAGTTGCTAATTGGAGTAATAAATTAGGCTCCACCAATAATTTCTTTCATCTCTGCCATAACGAGCAGAAAAGAAGCGAACAGTAACCCTAGGAAAAAAGAAGAAGGGTGTCACTTTTCGTGGGACTACCTTTGGTGACTTTTTTGTTCGAATAAATGTAGTATACGATAAAGATAACAAAGATCTATATTTTCATTAATTCTTTTTTTTTTTCATGAGTGAAAAAAACAATTCACCCGCAATTTCTACACGCAGGAATAGCCTATTCCCTGCTGATGTTTTAGAAGTTGCTTATGCAATTGGAGATAATCAGCATAGAAAAAGATTAAAGAATAGTGTTGGAAATTTAGATACTTTTGAATCAGCCCCTGATATGATAAATTCAACACAACTTATCAACCATTTTACAATAAGATATGAAGATCAAGATCCCGTCCCAGAATATTTTCAACAAGTGTTTAACTCAGAAGATGGTTTTGATGATCAAATATGTTCCTTATTGGAATCAAACTCAAAAATACTTTACGAATCTCGTATTTTGTGTTCTTTATGCGATTCTAATCTCGAATTACCGTTTTGTGCTGATGATTCCACTAAGTTAAAAACTTATGAAGAGCAGCAGCCAGATACTAGAGAATTATTCGAAGAACTGATATTTCCTAATTCTACTCCAAAAAGTGAAATTGATCTCAAGAAAATTTTCCCTTTTGTTCTTCCTAAATACAAACAATGGAAAAACTTACAAAAATCATATCGGATCATTCCGAACGCTGAGCGCCTTGATAACAAGCTTAATTTCATGGACTTTATCGGAAATACCTCTTATAAGTGCATCATGATTTCCAGTCAGTCTGGTCATGGGAAAGCTCCTGGAAGAGTGGTACCTTCATCAATTCCAGAATCAACTCTCTATATGTCTCAAGAAATTGATTTAATTAGTATTGATGATGTAAAATGCCACAGAACAGAAATAAATCCTGCTAAAGATAAGCACAGAACAATTAACGCTGTTGCTAAAGAGAGAATGCGCATTTCTCGCAAAATGAAAACAATGATGGACGTTCGAGAGCTTGTTTACTATCCGTTCTATACATTTAACGGTCCTTTGAATACAGAAATACAGCCATTTCCAAATGACTCTCTTCGCTTGCTGTTTTCTGTCATACATGCAATTGAGCTGAATATTGACGAATTGGACACACGATATATTCCAATATCATATAGCTTGGGCCATTTCATTCCATTTCTTAAAGCAGCTCTTGCTCATCCAGAGATGGAATACCACATAATTTGTTCTTCAGCTCATATTGGCTTTTTCTTCGAACTATCAAATGCATTAAACAGTATATCCAACTATCTCCACATGATAGACTTCATTCCTCTCAGAGCAGCCTTTTATTTGTCAGATAAGTTCAACACAAGAAAAATCCTTATTTACAACACTGAAATTGCCAGGTTTGCAAATTCAGTTGAGACAGGTGCGTTCTTGTCTATTCCGATTCGCTGCCTTCAGTGCGCGTCTTCGCTCCACTCCCTCCCGATCAACTTGTCGGTCTACCAGAGCGCAATTGACTTTATCAGTGGCCGCAAATCGAGGCCCAGCATTGCCGGCCTGGAGCAGCTTCGGCTCTACAAAGTCAGATTCTGTAGAGAGGAAGACCAAAGAGTTCACATTTCAGTTTTTCCTCTGTCGCACCACAGTCATGACCAAACAGTCGTACCCAGCTACTGGCCGCTATTCAATAAGCTCAGAAATCCCTACACTTTCTCTCCAAGGCCAACTGTATTCAACAATTCGCTCAGTTTCACGGTCAGAAACGTGAAAGACCCTGACGTAGAGTCTCCACTTTCATTTACACCCGGATCTTCATCATTTATGTTTGTTATTTAATAAAAAAGAAAGAAATTTTTATTTATTAACAGCAGCCACCACTTTTGGCATTGTTGTTTGAGTTGGCATTAAGATTTGCTGGTGCTTTGACGTTAGTTGTTTCCTTTGCTGGTTCAGGAAGGTCAACGGGAGGTATTTCGGCAATCATCTGGAAAAGTTCTTTAATATTGGTAGGAGCTTTAGCACTAACTTCAATAAATTTGCCTTTCTTTTCCTCAGAATAGTTCTGAAGTCTTTCAATCGGAACTTGGCGAGCATCAGATAAATCAGTCTTGTTTCCAACGAAAACTAAGGATGGATTGGCAATATCGCTCACAAGCTTCGTCCAGCGCTCTAAGTGATCAAAGCTTTCTTCCGAAGTAATATCATAAACAAAAACTGCCACTGTCGAATCTCTAATGTAGGAAGGGATAAGAGAAGAAAATTTTTCTTGTCCAGCCGTATCCCATATTTGCATCTTCACAACTTTTCCGTCAACTTCGATTTGCTTTGAAAAGAAATCTATACCAACTGTTGCTTGATGTTCATCAGAAATTGATTCGTAAATGAATTGATTGATAATTGATGTCTTTCCGACAGAAGAATCTCCAACTAAAACCACTTTATGATTGATTGTTGTCATTTAAAATTTAGACCGATAACCGTGGCACTTTTTTAAAGTTTTAAAATTATTGAAAATGTCTTCCTTTGTCGAAATTGGAGGATATTCAATAATTCAAAGGCTGGGGTCTGGTGGGTATGGAGAAATATACGCCGCTAAAAAAGAAAACGATGAAACAATCTATGCAATCAAAACAGAAAGTATCGAAACGAAACAAAAAGGCATGGAGTTAGAAATAAACATATTAAAAAGTCTTCCGCAGGCATCATGTTTTGCTACAGTAATCGATTCAGGCTCAACAGCTGCAGTTAATTATTTTGTCATGCCATTATATGGCCCTAGTCTTGCAGCGCTTAAGTCAAAATCAGAGATTAAACGATTTTCATTATATACTGCATTATGGGCGTCAAAGCAAATGCTATTAATCCTTCAACGACTTCATTCGTACGGTTTTGTTCATTGCGATGTTAAGCCTTCAAACTTTTTGTTGCAACAAAAATCGATAGGAGGGCTGGTTTTGATAGATTTCGGTTTAAGTTCTAAGTTCAGAAACGAATCTGGTAAACATATCGAAAATAAATCTTCTGATGGATTCAGAGGAACACTTAAATATGCCTCTATTAATATACATAAGCTTCAAGAGCCCACACGGCGGGATGACGTAATAAGCTGGTTCTACTCTTTAGTTGAATTAGTGAAAGGACAGCTTCCCTGGCATGATGTCCGTGATAAAAATTTATGTATGTCTTGCAAACAAACCATTACAACAGAGAAACTTTGCCAAAATTTGCCTCCACAAACAATTGAAATCTGGAACCACTGTAGAGACCTCAAATTTGATGAGGAACCAAACTATTCATTTATCATAGAACAAATAGATTCTATTTTCAAAGAAAATGAATGGACTGCGTCAATGCCTTTGGATTGGGAAAATTCAACTTCAATAATCAAAGACGCCACTCCATTTCCAGAATATTTTAATAAATCATCTCAATGCAGTGTATCTTATAGGTCCAATGCTGATGATGATAGATGTTGCTTATTAATATAATAATATTGTTTAATTCTTTTTGTTATTATAGTAAAATATGTTTATTTATTGTATTTTCAACCGCGCGTAATTCATGCATAAAGAACAGTCAAAAGGAGGGACTTCATCGACAACAGAGATATCGACCAAAATATTGTCAATCATGTACAGCATGGGAAGCATTGAGCCTACTATATTTTACTTGATAATGAAGAATTTTAAATAAAATCACTCAAGAAGAGCAAAATTCAGTGCAAAGAAAGCAATTTTTAAAATTAATATTGCCAAAATGGTTGTTTGGTTATCATTGGTTTTTTTGGCAATCTATCGTATCAAAAAATAAAGTTATACATTGTTGCTTCATATTGATCAATTCCTTTTCAATGACCACATCAACACGAAACGATATATACTTTTGTGCTGCTTTTCCCCAAAAAAAAATTTGTTCCCTTTGTTCGGATAATTTGGTCACCATAAAAAATGAGGAGATCATCATCTGTAAAAAACATTTTCTCTCGAACCCCTTCCACTCATGCATCGCAAATCAAACCGCCACCACGTCGGCCATCACCATATTCTTCATCAGCACTTAATAAATCAGATACTTCTCGTCAAAATATTTATGTAGATAGATTCAACAATTCTACAATCATTTCAAATAAGAATATAAAAACATTTGAAGGAGTCGAAATATATCCCGAAACTAAATCAATTTATGCTCAAAATAACTCAATCAAAAATTTTACTGGCCTCAAAAGCCTTCAACATTTAGAGGCAGTTGATCTTTCAAATAACTGTATCGAAAATTTTGCTGGTTTTCCAGAATTACCTCAACTTAAGTCAATTAATTTGTTAAATAATCCGATCTCAAAAGAGCGCTATTTCAGGGTTGCGTTAGTAATTTTGTGTGGGTCCACTTTACGTACTATCAATGGAGAGCGTATTAGCCCCTCAGATAGAAAACTTGCTGCTGCATATTTGAAAGAAACACATATTTTAATACGACATGGTTGGAATGTCACATTTCCGCCTCCTTCAAAAGACTGTTTTCAAAATATTAAAAAATCATTGATTTCTCATGAAGAGCCGAAGCAAACCTCTCCTTCTAAGCCATCTCTACGTTTACACTCAATGTCAGATTCATTCATGCGACGCATCAAAGATCAGGAGACCGAAAAGAAGCGATTACAATCACTGCTCGGCAAAAAATAACTTTTTTTTTAAAAATTTCTATTGTTTCGCTTGCTAAAATGTAACATTATATTTTATCTTTCATTTTAAATAACGAAATTTTTCCCCTAAATCCATTTGGAATAAAAATGAGAAAAATTGCACTGTTTTTATTCTCAATCAAGTCATGAATTGTACTACCATCAAACAGAAATTCTTTTGATTGAATAACCTTTGCTGTACCGATAATTCCTTATTTTTAAATAGTATTTATCAAATGTAATTTAGAAACTTTATTCTCGAATTGATGTAAGGGGATGAGAAGTTTGACAATTAGCATTGATAAGAGCGCCAATTGCTTGTAAAAAAATTCGTGTATTTCTTTGGAAGAACAATAGTGCTGAAAAGATTCTAGTGTCACTTTTCAAATGAATGCCTAAATTTTAAATTATTTCAAAAATTGCAATTTTGATGTATGCGCATTGATTAGGTTTATGGGTATTTGGCGCCAATTTTTAATCACATTTGAATGGTTTATTTCATAACCGCCAAATTTGAAAACAGTAGCCGATTATTTTTGTATCCTTTCCTTAAATGAGTAACGAAGCAACAAACCCAAACATACCTATTATTCACGATGAACATAATCTGATTGTTTTAGACCCGGCGCAACAAGCACCTCTTACAGATATTGCTCAATCTATGGAGCTTGAACCACCCACAACACCAAATGAAGCTAGAACAAAGCGCCATTTTACATACGAAGAAGACCAGCAAATCAGACAGCTAGTTGAACAGCATGGTACTGGACAGTGGACTCTTATTGCAAGCCAATTGCAAAATAGAAGCGCTCGCCAAGTCAGAGATAGATGGCGGTGTTATCTCGATCCTAATGTCCAGAAGAAAGAATGGACTCTTGAAGAAGATCAACTGCTCCTGCAATTGTATCAGTCTGTTGGGAGATTATGGTCTCAACTTGTTAAGTTTTTCCCAGGAAGGACAGATGTTGATCTCAAAAACCATTGGAACAAACTTCAAAGACATGCTAAGAAAATACAGCCGAATCAGCTCGATGTTGCAGAGCTTTCACTTAAAGTACCAGACCAAAATATCACTGTTAACGATATGTCTCAAGTCATGGGACAAGAAAATGAAGCGAAGCCGGAGCCAGAAAATCAACAATAATTTTATTTATTTTTTAGTTTAATGTATTTTAAAATTTGATTATATTTTTCCATTTTTAATGAAATATTTTAAGATAAGATAAGCAAGCAAATCATATCTACAATTTTAGTAGTATATGATGCGGGTTGTGTGACTTTTTTTGTAATCGTAAGAATTCTCACATAATTGAATGATTTTTGAACATACTTCCGAATAGCAGATTTTAAAAATTTATGAATAATTTATAAAAAGTTTTTATTCCTACAATTCCTATATTACCACAATAAACTCTCAGAATAAAAACATTATATATTTTCTTCATACTTTTAAAAATTATTTAATTATTCAAAAAATTATTTCCATCCTTAATTATTCAAAAAAAATTGACAAAGTGTTATTTATCAATAAAAATTATTTCTTATACAATATATTATTTTTTTAAATTTTTAAGTAAGATTTTTCATTCTGGATTGAAATTTAAGGGATATTTAAATTCTAAATCGGTAGAAAGATTCTATTTTTTGCATAGATTCCAAATATGGTGTCAAATTTTAAAAAAATTTTGAATTCAATGAGTTATATCAAAAATAAAATTCTTGATTAGAGTAAAAAAATTTAAATAATTTATTTAAATATTTTCTTCTGACATTTTTGAATAATTTATTTTTTTAATTCGTAAGAAAATGAGTGGATCAAGATTCGTAACCGTCAATCAATTAATGGATGCTCTTTCACCAATTCTTGAAAATGTTAAACAAGTAGATGTTTATTTCGATGATTATGTAGAAAGTATATATTATAAAGGTAAGTTTAATATTAAACCTATTGCTTTTGCATTTGATAATAAATTAATTGAAAATGCAAAAATTTGGGAATTAATTCCAGATATTGAATATATAACGAAATATAATATAAATGGTTCAAACGAATTCCAACCACAAAAGTTCTTTGTAAATTAATGATCAAAACTGAGGAAAAATTTATGAATTTACATATCATCCAAATAAAGTTTCAGAACTAGAAAATGAAAAACTTCAGAAAAAATTAAACGATAGACTTTCAAATGATCGTATTGAAAAAATAAATAAACTAGCAGAAGTTGCATTTAATAATGAAATATTTGATGAATATAACCTTGAACTCAGTGATGGGCTTTAAGGACCCGGGCTCAACGAGTCATGATTTATGAAATCAATAATTTGATTTATTCGCTCTTCAATAATTTCTATTCTTTTTGTTAAATCATCTATTTTCATTAATGAGGTGATTCGTGATTGAGGAATAGATTTCAAACTAACCACTCCTTTTATTTTTGAAATTTTGAATCCATCAACTTTAAACATTTTATTCAATTTACACGTTGTCAATTCTTCAAATAATTTTTTATTATTAGCATAATAGTCATTAAATTCTTCAACAGATGAAAAAATTTTTATTTCAGTAATTGGTTTAACAACGTTTATTTTTTGTTGAACATTTTCACTTTCATTTATTTCTTCCTCCTCTGTTTCATTTATTTTTAAAATTGGTTTCATTTATCATTAAATAAAAATTAGAATATAAGTGATGAAATATATTTTTTTTAATATTAAATCAGAAATGGCGCAGGATTCTTTAAAAAATTATGGGATGGAATTAAGAAAGCTGCAGGTTGGGTTCATAAAAATATTATTAAACCCGTTGCAAACTTTTTGGCACCAGTAGCGAAAACGGCAGGAACTATCATAGGTGGAGTATTAGGTACTAAAGCAGGTAATCCGGCATGGGAGCACAAGCAGGTAACGCAATTGGTGGAATTGCTGAAGGAATACTTAATAAAATAGGAGGTAGATAGTGGAAAAATAAATATTTTTTTATCTTAGTATCGGTTAGTCTTTGATAAACTTTTTCTCCTTTATTTAATATTCTCTTATTGGGGCAGCTTTTGGTGTTATTGATTCAGCAACGTCACTAATTGCTTCTTTATTCTTAAATATCCAATTTGCTCCTTTTTCATGTTTCCCAAACTTTATGCGCTCCTCTTTTTACTTTATCCCACAGTTTCTTAAATATCCTGCAGCCATAGTTGATTATTTCATTAAAATTAAAAATTCATTTTCATCTTTTAATTTTGATTTTTTATTTATTAATAAATGACGACTAACTATTTGGTGCCAAACACTAAACCGATTAATGGAAATGTGTTTCATTCATTCGAAAAGATAAATGAAATATTCGCAAAGAATGACGGTAGAAGATATTATAGAGAACTTGAAAGTTCATGCTATGACTCTGATGCTCCATATTTTGATGATAAACAAACTCATTTAAGAATTACAAATCCGGCTCATGATGTGAACCAATTAGGTGACACATATATTAAACGCAAAGTTAAAGCAACTCTAGTTTCAAATAAAGCTTTCACATGTGATGCCGCTTTTAAATGCATGCGTTTATTCGTTGGTTACAAATCATCAAATCAAAGCTTTAAACAATTAGAAGTAGAAACCGAAAGAGGTGATGCCGGTTATCTTCAGATGGATTGCGCCCGTGAATCTTTCGCATTTGCAACATATAAACCAAAATCAGAAAGGAAAGTTAAAAAGTTTGTTCATTCGTTATATAATAATGTTCAAAAATATGATAACTCAGTATGTGGTAAATATATTGACCCTTCAGAAGTTTTCAAGAAAGCAAATGAAGAAGTTGATGTCACTTTTGATATGATTATTCCGGTAAATGATTTGTTAGCATTTCAGGCGTTCGATGATTATCCTAAATCATTTGGTGATATCATTCTTAAATATTATGTTTTCAGGGATACTTTAGTATTTTGTCAGGTTGACCCGTTAAGAGTTGCTGATTTACAAAATTACGTTTATGAAAAGATAACTGATGAAAATTATGAAAAGATTATGAATCATGTTTATAAATATGATCGCAAATTCCAACAAATCGGACTTCCTGCCAAATTAATTACAAGCTTAGCCGCTACATCTGCTGACGCAACAGTTGATGACGTTATTATTTCATGCACAAAGATGGAAGTTTTAGAGGATAAATGCATTACACCAGGATACGGTTTAATTGAAGAATCAGTTAAAGCAATACCACGTTTATTCAGTAAGGAAGATCCATTCATGATTCCAGCTCAACATATTGACGTTCGTTCACTAAATGGAGGTTGCATCACTCCTGAAGGTATTAGCTCAGATTTCTCATACGCTCTTCATAATGTTACAGATGTTGTGTTAACATTTCCGAAGAATGCAATGCAAAGAACAGTTTTAGAAAATCCAATGCTTCGAGGTCTTCAGGTCACTATAGATTCCAGAAACTTCCCCGATCAAGCGATGACCACAGTGGGTGACATATTCTTTACACGTATGCTTCAAGCTTCTGATTTAGATGGAGTGAATGAATGCACAGAAGAATACGAGGACTCATTAACTAGACCACTGAATGATGATGATGGCACGCCATTAGCTAGAACATGGAAAGACCAAACTTCATTCTTATGCACTATTCCAGTTCAACGTGATGGAGCGGGTATATTCTTTGATGGATTAGAAACTTTCAACTCACAAGTTACAGTACAAGTGAAAGCTTATCCAATCATTCAGGGTGAAAATGACACTTACTGTTCAAAGGTGACAAATCCTCCTCAGGTTTGGTTTACTAGGACTACATATTGGACATGGACACCGGATGAAGGTTTGAAATATCATCCAACAGGTACACCACCACAGTATAGAAGTTCATATGATGAAATATTGATGAATAGAAATGTTTAAAATTATAAATTTATTTTTGATTAAATGGATTTAAATTCTGAAGAATTAACAGATGTATATAATACCTACATAGATGATATGATTAATGAAGCATTGAGTGATAATAGAAATGCTCTATCTAAGGAAAAATTAATGAAAATTCCATATTCTGAATGTTACTTAAATTCAATCACTGCAGCAATTGGTAAACAGAATAAAGGTAAAACATTAACGATATTAAACAGATTATTTATTGCTAACACTTCCCCCTATTCACATGTGTTAATTTATATCAACCGTTCAGGTTCACCTTCAGATGATACATTTGAATCTTTAAAGCATTTAATCAAAATTCCAATTATTTATTTATCACAAGAAGAAGCAGAAGATTATTTAAAAAACTTTTTAATGTATAAAGAATTATATAATACAATCAAGAAGCAAGGATTAGAGGATAAAATTATTGATAAACAAAGGGATGAATTATTTGAAACACTTTCTATTTCAAATTTTGATAAAGAATTTTTGCATTCACTTAATTCTAGATGATGCCGTGAAATCAAAACTAATAACTAATGAGAAATCATATTTTAATCAGTTATTAACTCAATGTCGACATATTCAATGTTCATTCTTTATGGCTGTTCAATACTTTAAAGCATTAAGCACAAACATTAAATCAAACCTGTCCACCCTTTTCATTTTCAGTGGTTTTAGTCGTCAACAGTTGAACGTTATGCTTTATCAAGTGAATTTACCAATGAGCATTAATGAACTTTACACACAATATCAACAATTAGGAGAACATGGAAAAATAATAGTTGATTTAAATAAAGGTTCCATTAAATTCGAATAACTTTTTTATAATTAATTTTTATTTTTTATTTATAATTAAACATGACAGAAATTGCAAATCTTCTACAGGTTCCATTAAAACAAGGGACAAACAAAAAGGGTGCATATAATAGAACTATGAAAGTTCCAGACGGAATGAAAGAATTAGTCCACATTGTTGCCGGTCTTCAAAAGGATGTTAAACAAATGAGAAACGTTTTAACATTACCAGAAGCTCAAGCATATGCCAAACGTCATGGACCAAATTGGGAAGCACATGAAGCAGACATTACAGGACCAAATGGAAAGCCTGATGGAATAAATGAAGTCTTTGTTACTGATGGTCAAGGAAATATTAAAGTCATAAATGGGTATAAATTAACAATGACGGATTATCCTAAACGTAAAGCATATAATGAACGTTATCCTATGAAT